CTGGTGCCCAGTCAGCCCCTGCAGGGTTTGGGAGGCACGGCAGTAATTCACAAGGACTTGAGATTGTGTCTTGCATGTTGCCCTCTGGGCCCATTCACGGGGAGAACAAATTGCAGTGGGTGTTTGATCTTCTGGCGTGCCCCATGAAACCCCCTCCTGCACTAAGCCAATACCATGGTAAGATGCTTCTCCTTCTTAAGTGATCTAGTGTGCCCCCCCCCGCTGCTGCCTGTTCCCATCCGTGCACTGTTTCGTGGGAACCCGTGGTGGGCCCTGTGTTTCTGTGGTCACTGCTGAGCACACGCTAACCCCTAGAGTGTTCGTGTTAATGCAGATTGTTACACTGCTGCCCCAGCATAGCCCCACCTTCCTTTACCCACCCATCTGATGCTGAAGCCTTTTCCGATCAATTGGAGCCTACCTGCTGCATTCTGCAAACACACAGAGTGTACTTGTTTCACAGTGTGCACAGAGCACTGTTATGTCACTTACTGGGGTTTACGTTGGGTTCAGAACACACAGGCTGGCACCCAGTAGTAAGGAAGACTAGGAATTGTTTTTGAAGTGTGTGGTGTTTTGTTTTTTTTTAATGCAGTTTCTGGGTGCAGAACGGGGAGGGGGGGGTGTTCTTCCTTTTCACTGCTGTCTGCTTTGTGCCTATGGGAGAGATCCAGGAGCAAACTAGCCGGAAGACTCCGTGTGCAAAAAGCAGGCATTCCCAAGGGTGTGGTCTTGAGGAGGAGGCATGACCCGAACACAGGACTGAGAGCCAGGAATTTCCTAATACTAATCCCAGCTCTGACATGGGCTTGCTCTGTGGCTTTGGGCAAGTCACTTCATCTTGCTGTCTGTTTTTATTTCCCTTGAGTTTCATCCCATATTTGTTGGAGGGCTGATACCTAACTGCTCTGAAGATACAACTGCCATGACTTGCTCTGTATTAATTGAGAAAGAGGCAGAAAATGGTGGGATTTTGGAAATATTCCATATTTGGTTCTCTTCCAGGGAATCTTTTAGTTAGTCTACAAACAGCATTTAATTTGGGCTGGATTGTAAAGCTGTTCATGACAAGACTGAGATTGCCTTGCAGGGAAGGTGGAAATGGAGCTGTCAGGGTTCCCTCCCCACTCTGAACTCTAGGGTACAGATGTGGGGACCCGCATGAAAGACCCCCTAAGCTTATTTCTACAAGCTTAGGTTAAAACTTCCCCCAGGCACAAATTCTTTGCTCTTGAAGGGTATGCTGCCACCACCAAGTGATTTAACAAAGAATCAGGGAAAAGACCACTTGGTGTTCCTATTCCCCCAAGCCCTTACACCCCCTTTCCCGGGGAGGCTTGAGAATAATATCCTAACCAGTTGGTTACAAAGTGATCACAGACCCAAACCCCTGGGTCTTAGGACAATAGAGAAATCAGTCAGGTTCTTAAAAGAAGGATTTTATTCTTTAAAAAAGGTAAAAATCACCTATGTAAAATCAGGATGGAAAATAACTTTACAGCTTAACAAAAGATTCAAAAACACAGCAGAACTTCCTCTAGGCTTAGTTTCAAAGTTACAAAAACAGGAATAAACCTCCCTCCAGCAAAGGAAAAATTCACAAGCAAAACAAAAGATCTAACACGCCTTGCCTGGCTTGTACTTACAATTTTTGTAATATAAGAGACTTTTAGGATGGTTTATAGGAGAAGTTTTCTGACCTGATGCTTCTCTGCTTCCCAAGAGAACACACACACAACAAAGCCTTCCCCCCACCTCCAAGATTTGAAAGTATCTTTCCCCATTGGTCCTTTTGGTCAGGTGCCAACCAGGTTATTTGAGCTTCTTAACCCCTTACAGGCAAGGAGGAATTCTAGGCTACCCTTAGCTGTATGGTTATGACAGGAGCATATTTAGGATTAGGCTAAAATGGAACGCTCCATATATAGGGAGCATTATTACGCAAAACTGATGAGGGGTATGGAATGACTTCCATATGAGGAGAGATTAATAAGACGGGGACTTCAGCTTGGAAAAGACGACAGAGGGAGGATATGGCATAGGTCTATAAAATCATGACGGGTCTGGAGAAAGTAAATAAGGAAGTGTTAATTACTCTTCCTCATAACACAAGAACTAGGGGTCACCAAATGAAATTAATAGGCAGCAGGTTTAAAACAAAAGGAAGTATTTTTTCACACAAGACACAGTCAACCTGTGGAACTCCTTGCCAGAGGATATTGTGAAGGCCAAGACAATAGCAGGGTTCAAAAAAGAACTAGATAAGTTCATGGAGGATAGGTCCATCAATGGCTATTAGCCAAGATGGGCAGGGCTGGTGTCCCTAGCTTCTGTTTTCCGGAAGCTGGGAATGGGCAACAGGGAATGGATCACTTGATGATTCCCTGTTCTGTTCATTCCCTCTGGGGCACCTGGCACTGGCCACTGTCGGAAGACAGGACACTGGGCTAGATGGAGCTTTGATCTGACCCATTGTGGCTGTTCTTATGTTGCTCAAAGTTACAAGTATACAGTGTTATAGCCACGTCAATCCCAGCATAGTGGAGAGACAAGGTGGGGAACATAATATCACTTCAGCTGGGGGAGAGACCAGCTTTGGAACTTGCCCAGAGCTCTTCTTCAGGTCTGGGTGTTCACTGGCCACTTCACCTTGAGTGGTTCCTTGCAGTGTGTTAACTACTTATGCTAACCAATCTGTGCCATCTTGGATTTAGCTGGGACACCCTGAGGGCTTGTGTACACTTAATGCTTCAATGGCGCAGCTACCCTGCTGCCAATACTGATGGGGAGGTTCTCTCGTTGGCATAAGTATCCACCTCCCAAAGACGTGGTAGCTAGATCAATGGGAGAATTGTCCCGTCGACCTTGCACTGTCTAAACCAGGGATTAGGTTGGCTTAACTGTGTTACTCAAGGGGGGGATTTTCCTAGTGTAGACCAGGCCTGAGTACCTTTCCTAGACCTGAAGAAGAGCTCTGTGTAAAGCTTGTCTCTCTCCCCAGCAGCAGTGGGCCCCAGAAAGGATATTACCTCCCCCCCTTGTCTCTCTAAAGCTACAAGCGCCCTTCAGAGGGGGAGAATTCTCTTGGGTGTGATTTGAACGATACGAGGCTGGGGATGTGTAGATGTGGTGCGATGCTCTGACATGATGTGTACAGAAACATTCTGAAGGACAAATGAATCCTGAAATGGGGCATTGGCACAAACTGCGTGAGAGGCGAATAGCAGGTTCATAAATGTGTCTGTAGCGGCTAAGGAGAAGGCTCAGGGACCTGGTGAAGGAATTCAAACCTCTCCAGTCTAGCTTGTTTGTTTGTTTTTGAATTCAGCCCGAATTGACAGATGGTCACGCTGCTTGGGGCCCCGTGGGAAGAGAATTTGTGGCCTGAGCCTAGCTGGTACCTGACTTTGAGGGCGTCTGTCTCTGAATCCTCCATAACAATTGTTACTAAGAGGCACCCACATTGGGCTTGCTGAAGGTGGAAGCCATCAACGGGCATGGCTCGCGCAACTCTTCTCTATCCCAGAGGTCGTCCCGCCTGTTTTGATCAGGAAACTTCCAGTTGCCATTGCAGGTGGAGAACTCGGTTGCTCTTGTCTTGGTGGCTTCTTCCCCCAGCACAAAACGTACCCCGTTAAAGAGGAACAGGTGAAGGTAAAAGTCTGAGGTACAGGTGGTGCTGGGCCAGGGTGGACGGGACTGAATTTTGTGTCGCTTGCATGCGGTTCACGTGCAAAGCTACGTACCTGAGGGCTAAGTAACAAAAGCAAAATGGAACGATTGCAGAATATTCTGACAATTTGCTGAAGGTTTGCGTGTGTGTTAGATGCAAATAGAGGGGTGAGTGCTGGCATCTGCCTTTCCACAGGGAATCCTGCACAAGGGCTGCTGACTCAGCTGCCCCACTGCTGATCTTCTGAGGCACTGGGCAGTGTCGTGTTCGGTGAACTCTTGCTACTAGTCTGTCCAGTGACAGATCGGCTGGCCTGGCAGGATGCGTTATGAGAGCCGTTCAGGACAGATTATGGAGAGTCTGTGCTTGGACACGGATGGAGAGAAAGGTGGCCAGAAATGATTCTGTGCTCATGGGTTTCATTTAGTGTTTTTTCAATGCATTTTCTAGATATGGCCCCAGAGAAAGGGGGTGCCGGATTCCTGCCTCTGGGGCTGTGGCATGGGTGAGCATAAGAGAGGGATTTGGGGAGGGGCAGGTGAGGCATAAGGTCTTATCTTGCTCACCAGCCTCTCCCCTGCTCTCTTCAGTAACTTCTTGTGTTGATTACTCTGAGGGGATGTGTGGGTGTGTCCATGTGCAAGATAACAATACTGCTCATGGTTTGCCTGGAAGGAGAGCACTCTCAGATGCTGTTGCAAATGGAAGTGTCATGATTCCTATCGGCATAAAGCCAGCAGGGTTTAAGCAGCAGAGCCAGCTTGTACGGTCTGAGAGCACTAGCTCTAGCCAGGTGTGGGTGTTTGAGAGGGCAGCTGCAAGGCAGCTCGGCTCTGCCCTCCCCCCACCCACCCACACAACTTTCGCAGCCCACGTTTCTGAGTCAGTAGCTTTGTGTGGGGGAGTTTGGTTGGTGAGGGATGCGTGTGCGCGCACACACGTGGATGTGCACACATACCCCATGTGCGTGCACCCCCGCCCCCCAACGTACGTGTGTGTGTGCGCATATAAATGTTCGGTGCTTGCAGGCAAATTTTAAATCAAACAAAATGGTAACAGTTGTGTGTGGAGTATTTCAGTAACGTTCTCTCTAGTGGGAGAAGTGAAGAGACATACAGGCTAATGCTGCATTTATTTCTTGGAGCAAATATCCAGGCATTGGCAAGGCACAGGATTTGTACCCAAAAGAACTTCTTCTCTTGTTATGGGTTTGCAGGTGACTCTTTTCAAACCTCCATTGAGGCGCAGGTAATCACACAGTGCTGGGTGTGCAGAGATTAAACACATGTCCCTTCCAATAATCTCTTCGCTTGTCTTCTTTCCCTAGTACATCGACGCTATTGGCAACAAACAAGGTGAGCTAGAAAACCACGTCTCTGATGGCTATAAGACCGCACTCACAGAGGAGAGGAGACGGTTCTGCTTCCTAGTAGAGAAGCAGTGTGCTGTGGCTAAGAATACCATCTCCTACCACACCAAGGTGAGCAACCACAGTGTTAATCAGCCTGTGAAACAGCCTCCGGATAGGAGACCCTCAAAAGAGGTCCAAGTGCTCCCATGAGTGTAGGCAGTGAGCACACGAGGGCAGTCAGTCGTTTTGGTTGGGTGCTCTCTGATGGCTGCTGTTTTGACTGGTGCTGGGTTGGAACCGGGGACCTTCAAACAGACCGTGTGAATCTCTACAGCTTGAGCTAATGAGGTAGGCTGTCTAGCTGGGCATGGTACCAGACCAGTCCCCTGTGGCTCGGGCAGACAGAGGACAGGGACGCAGGCTGATCAGGGCATTGCAGTCCAGTGGGGGTGTGTTTTCCTGGGCTGCGTAAGCCACAACCTCATCTCTATGAGGTGGCGATGTGTTCACTTTGCAGCCACTCCTTGCGGATTGCGCCCTCGGAGGCGGGTGTCCCGTCGAAAGATTTACGGGATGGCAGGGCACGTGCTGTTTATCTGCAGGGCCCTGTGGGTGCCGCTTTTGCTGGGCTATGGAAGGAGGCCCCCGCTTCATAGCTCTCCTGGAGAGGCTGCCAAAGCCCAGCTCTCCTCCGGCCAGAGGAAGCTGATTGATTCACTGTCAGAACGACAGACTGGCGAGGGCAGAGCAGCAGCACATCGTGGCCCAGCTTTCCCTTAAAGATGCCAGCCCCTTCTCTGGCACCTCTGCCTAGCGTAGCCCAGCTGAGGCAGCACACACCTCTCCGGGAGGCTCCTGTAGTCCCTGAGCCGTCATTAGTCACTGTGGGATGGAGTACACAGGCTTAAAGGGGGGGGGGTTGTGACACATCCCTGTTTGATCAGCTAATGAGTCACAAAACCAGACCAAAACCTGGTGCAGTGACCTTCCTCCTGAAGGGAGGTAAGAAAATTCCTGCTTCTCTGTTTGCTCTTTGTCTCCGAGGAGCAGCCAGCGAGTGGCAGGGAACGTGGTGAGCTGTCTCCCTTTTGTGAGCCATTGTGATTGCTACCTTACAGCTCATCATTAACAAAAGAGAGGATTAAATAGGAAGGCTGTTGTTCCACGCTCCCACGTGCCCATTCAGCGCTGCCTACGGCTCTTACGAACTGCTCTGCAGGGGGAGGACAGCCCAGAGCACTCCCCTGTCAGCTGGGACCTCGGGGCAGAGTTCTCTTGCCCCCTTGTGGGGCTCTGTTCGCTCACTTGGGTTGATACTGCGTGTTGGCGAGCATGCTGCTCCCTTAACGCAACAGCCGGCTGCCTGCATGCGCTCACACTTCCACTTATTCCGGTTTTTTCCTACATCTCACTTCTAAGATCCATCTGTCAAGAGTGAGCTTTGAACAAGGGAGTAACATAAGAGTCCCAGTGAGTCATCGCTATCCTTACACTAGAATATACGCTGAGTCAAAACCCGACGCATGTTACAATGGGATGAAGTGGGGTTGGGGTGGGGTAACTCTCTCCTGTTCAAAGATGTCGGTTCCAGAGCGCTCTCCAAGAGTCGTCCCTGCAGCCTCACACATTAAAAACGGCTCGTTTGTGGAACCCAGACTTCATTGCGGTTTTCCACTGTGGCTTATCGCAGCAAAGTACGTGGAAGATTTTGTTAGAGGGAGTTTTGCAGGTGGCTCATCCACAGCGCGGGTGGATGGGGGCAGGCCCATTTCCAAGGCTGGCTAAGTTAACAAACAGCCATTTCCACCTAAGCAGTGCTACGTCTCCCCTGACGTGGCACGGCCTGTGACAGTCACGTGTGCAGCGAGGCCCCTGTCTCTTTGCTGAGGTCAATTGGCTTCGACATACACAGTGGAAATGAGACTAGGCGTAAATCGATCAGGGCTTTTCCTTAAGCCCATGGAAATGGTTTAGGGACTGACTTAAATTTGCCCAAAGATAATAGTAAAGCTTGAAGCAAACAGGTAAATTTTCACCCTGCAATAATGCTGCTTCATCTGTTAATGGAGAATGAGTTAATTTGCCTTCTGGAAGTGGCAGCTTGTCTGCTTCTGCTTCAGAGTCAGTTACAGCTCATTCGTAGTGGTGACGTATTGTTCTCTGGTGCGTGTCCCTATTAGGGAAGCCGTTAGGTGGGTGTGCTCTTGAGAGCTGCATGAGAGGTGGCACCTGCTCCTTCTGTGTTTGGATGTGGGAGCAATTCCTGTAGTATTGTCTGGGTTTTGCCTCCTTGGGAAACTAAACTACCAATTCCCCCGGTTCGACAGAAGCGACAGGTGTTAATTTAGGCAAGAAAACCTAGAAACAGAGTTCAGCCCCAGACCTCTGGGCTGGAGCATTGCCATGGCCTCTGAAGATGGGGGACCCCTAGAGCATCTGGCCTCCAATGCCTAATCGCAGCCAGCTGAGGCAGGCTGAAGACTGAGCTTCAGCCTCAAAAGCTTCGAGATTGGAGACTGCCGAGGTTGGGCAGCCCTGTCAGACTAAATGAGGCCCCTGTCTGTGCTGCCATCCAGTTCCCAGAGGGTTCATTGCATTTCTCCCCTCCCTGCGCGCAACAGATGGCGAACACTGCGTCTGCCTCTGTTTTAATACGCCGTGGTCAACGCTGTTCTGCTGGGTGCTTCTGACTGTCCCCGGGATTCCACCTCTGCAGTTGTTCGTTTTTTATTGGTGAGGCTTGCAAGTCTTCCAGCATGGACGCGATGTGCTGCAGGGACTCTCCCCTCTGCCTGCAGTCTGTCTCAGAATAACAGTCCTTCCCTAGCCAGCCACAGGAAGACAGCTTACCTGCTGAGCCCCAACCCCCGCTGCTTAGCAATTTCCAGATTTCGGGGTTGGGGGGTACTTCTGAGGATTGAATAGTACAATACTGCCTCCAGCCACCCCCATAGAATCATAGAATATAAGGGTTGGAAAGGACCCCAGAAGGTCATCTAGTCCAACCCCCTGCTCAAAGCAGGACCAATTCCCAGTTAAATCATCCCAGCCAGGGCTTTGTCAAGCCTGACCTTAAAAACCTCTAAGGAAGGAGATTCTACCACCTCCCTAGGTAACGCATTCCAGTGTTTCACCACCCTCTTAGTGAAAAAGTTTTTCCTAATATCCAATCTAAACCTCCCCCACTGCAGCTTGAGACCATTATTCCTCGTTCTGTCATCTGCTACCATTGAGAACAGTCTAGAGCCATCCTCTTTGGAACCCCCTTTCAGGTAGTTGAAAGCAGCTATCAAATCCCCCCTCATTCTTCTCTTCTGCAGGCTAAACAATCCTAGCTCCCTCAGCCTCTCCTCATAACTCATGTGTTCCAGCCCCCTAATCAAACCCTTCTACAACATGCCCCAAACCTGTCTGCTCTGGCTGGCCCTGGGGGATGGCACAGCTTTGTCAGCATCACAATGCAGCAAGCTAGTTCAGCCAAATATCCAAACGGTAACTTGGACTTTCCGCTCGCTCACCCAGCGAGAGCAGCGGTGTCCCCCGTGCTTTGTGCTCCAAGGAATAGCAGTGGATTCCAAGCGATGAATGCTGCACGAACACAATTTATGAGCTACCAAGTCCCATACCACACGTGTTCTTCCTCAGCAAGGCTGGTGAGGAGCTGTCACTGGGCGGCTGCTGCTGCGTATCGGATAGTGAACTGGTGTGGCTTCCAGTGCACGCTTCTCAACTGAGCCTTTGATCGGAATATATTTCTTGGTGTACAGGAGAGTTCAGATAAACTGAATAGCCCAGCTCTCTCCTTCCCTTTCTCATTTGGCTAGTCCATTCTTCAAGCTGCCCCGCATGCAGAGTGTCTCAAAGCAAGCTAGGGAAACGAAATACCCTTACACTTTTCATGAGACTATACTGGCTCATCTGCCTTTTTGCACCCTATATTTATTGTAAGCTGCCGCACTCTGTCCTGTTTGTTACACACCCGGGTAGATAAATCTCACTTACTGCTCTCCTTAGATGGCAGAGAGGAAATCTGGGCCAGTGGCCCTTTTGTGTTCCAAGCCGGCTCTGGAGGCATGATCGTCGTGGTCTGCTTTCCATGCCTCCTGGAATCCAGTCTGAGGAACGTGTTCTTGGGGGGGCCTGGTTTGAGATGGGAGCTATACTGTGATCATTCTCTGCCCCTCGTCCTGAGAGGTGAGTGGATTTGTCTGCAGGTCTCTTGTATTCTCACTCTTCCCCCTTTGTGATTCTAGGGGAAAGAGATCTTGACACAGAAGCTCCCGATTTGGCAGCAGTCTTGCTCAGATCCCAACAAGATCCCAGACCGGGCTCTCCAACTGATGCAGCAGATGGCCACCAGCAGCAACGGCACAATCATCCCCAGCGCCCTGTCCACGTCCAAATCGAACCTAATCATCTCCGACCCTATCCCCGGGGCCAAACCGCTCCCTGTCCCACCAGAGTTGGCACCCTTCGTGGGGGTAAGTGTGCAAGGCATCAATGGTGCCGTCCTGGCTGAGTAACGTTATGGGTGTACAGAGTAGCAGCCATGTTAGTCTGTATTCGCAAAAAGAACAGGAGGACTTGTGGCACCTTAGAGACGAACCAATTTATTTGAGCATAAGCTTTCGTGAGCTACAGCTCACTTCATCGGATGCATAGAGTGGGGAGATAGCTCACGAAAGCTTATGCTCAAATAAATTGGTTCATCTCTAAGGTGCCATAAGTCCTCCTTTTCGTTATGGGTGTAGTGAGCCTAGCACAGTCCCGTCAGGCAAGTCAACTGCCAATAAGCTTTAGACCACGTTCAGCGGTGAGGCTTTCAGGGAATCCCCTAGGGCACACTTTTGTGAAGGAGGCTGATGAGGGCCAGTGTGAAATGGACCATCCTGCTTTATCATGTCCTTGAGGTTTGGGTGACATTCAGTGCCTCCCCGTGAAGACAGCCAGGATTTGCAAAGCTCCAGGGGAAGACAGGGACCACAGTTTGAACCCTGTGAGGGGGGCCGCAAAAGCTAGAATTACCTGGCCTTGCAGGAAGAGTTGGGGAGGGAACCTCAGAGGGAACTGCATGATCCAGTGAAAACTGCTTAGCAATGTAAATCAAAGGATGTTCCACTTGATGTAGTCAGTCTTTGGGACTTGCTGCTGGAGGGGATTGAACTGAAATCCTCTGGGTGGGCTTAGAAATGGGCTGTCTGAATGCTAGTATGTCTCACTTCACATCCTGTTGAGAGAGTTGTTTGTAGCTCAGCCTGCTTGGCCTACACTGATCACGGCAGGAATCGGGAAGGGATCTGATCCCTCAAGCCACCCTGGATGGCTTTACCTCTCCTCCTAAAGCATTACGATCAGGCCATGGCTGGAGACAGGATACCAGATGCAGTAGATGGGGGGGCCTGATCCTGTATGGCAAACCGTATTATCCTAAAGCATGTGGGGCCCTTACAGAAATGTGACATCTATGCGACTCGACATCCCTGATGCTGAAATCTCCCATTGCCCTTTCTTCCTTCAGCGCATGTCCGCACAAGAGACCATTCCCGTGATGAACGGCGTCTCGGGCTCTGAGAGCGAGGATTACAGCCGCTGGTCCGAGATGAAGCCAGCCCAGCCGAAATCCCGATCTCCTCCCCAGCATCAGAAGCAACTGAGTGACTCGTACTCCAACACGCTCCCTGTGCGCAAGAGCGTCGCACCGAAAAGCAGTTACGCAACCAGTAAGGATTTAGCCTCTGTCAGATCAGAGAGCAGGGACGTAGCCGCTTCTCTCCAGGGGGTTATGGGTCAGCTGCTGACCGGAGGTAGGAGGAGCAGCAGTTAAGGGTCTTTGCACCTTAATGCAGTGGGAGGAGGCAAGGTGGGCTCAGGTGGCACAAAAGCGGGGACAATGGCTTCCTCCGTTAGTGACCGTGAAGTGTCACATGGTGACGGTAACAGCATGGTTGACTTCCTTAGTAACGATGCAATAACGCATGGCCTCTCCCAACAACCATGTGAGGCAGTGTCTCCGTTTTCACGCATCTTTGAGCAAAGGATTAGAAAATAAAGGGGGCAGATTTGGGTTGCAGCTTCCTTTGGAAGGAAAAACTTTCAGCCCTATGGCGGGATTTCTGATAAGTAAATCTGAAAGAATCTGGGAGCGGGAGGAGGGATGTAAACTCTTCAAGGCTGCAGCCATCTCTTTAGAGTGTGTTTGTACAACGTCGGCACAATGGGGCCCTGACCTTGATTGGGCCGCTAGGCACCACATCATGATGATGATGATGATTGTCTCTTTGCATGATGGGATAGGGTCACTGGATTAGGCCAAAGATAGTGGGACCTTGCCTGCTGAGTCTTTATGCTGTAGCTCACGAAAGCTTATGCTCAAATAAATTTGTTAGTCTCTAAGGTGCCACAAGTCCTCCTTTTCTTTATTCCTCTTACGCATCTGCATATGACTGCAGGCCTATCTCAATGCATAGAGACAGTACCTCACACCTGCTTTAGTTCGCTTATCTGCTTCCCCGTGGGCATGTTTCCAGAAGGATCACGCAACTCTTTCCTCTGGGTTTTTCCCTTCGCTAATGTTAACATCTCAGAGCAAAGTGTCTGGAATAACAAATGAAACCTGGATGTAAACCATTACAAATAGACCTATTTGCATAATATTCAAGTAATACCTTAGCATAGAACTGCATCCATTGCATCGAAGGTGTGAAACGAGGAATGTCGAATGAGGGGTAGCCATTAAGTTAATGTTCTGACTGTTTGCCTAAGTGCTCTCCATTGGGGGGAGAGTCAGAGGAACTGCACAAATCAGACTGGGTCCACTAAGTACATTCACTTAAGGTCTTTATAACAGACAGCTTAAATAAAAGAATAGCCAAGAATCTGGGCGGGTCTGAGCTGTACTAGCTAAAAGGGGGTTTGTTTTCCTTAATTGCAATACTGGCTGAGCCTTGGGTAGATTAATGACTCTAAATGCCACAGTAGAAACTGCCTAGGACCTGATCAGCCAAGTGGTCTGAGATTTTGGGGCTTTCTTTGTGTCTCACCAGCTGAAAACAAGACCTTGCCACGCTCCAGTTCCATGGCTGCTGGGCTCGAGAGGAATGGCAGGACAAGAGTACAAGCCATTTTCTCTCATGCTGCTGGTGATAACACCACCCTCCTGAGCTTCAAGGATGGAGACCTCATCACGCTCCTGGTGCCAGAGGCCCGAGATGGATGGCACTACGGGGAGAGTGAGAAAACAAAAATGTGAGTGTCTGTGAACTCCCTAGAACTACAGATGCCATCAGCACCTAACTCTTAAAATTGGAGTGGCTGGCGCACCAAAATTGCTTAGCTGCTAGCCAGTTTTTCCTGGCATCCCATCGTGCCACTTGGTTACTGTGGGAGGTTGAAAATTCTGAGCAAGACGAAATACCAGCTTTGCTGGCTGGTGTTTGGTAAAGCACCGACCTGTGGAGCAAGGCCAGGCTTTTGAGTGCTGGGACGACTGGGCTTCTCATCTTGACCCTTGATCCCCATTTCACTTCAGTGTCACACATGGGGGGCTGAGCGTGGGGCCACTGCTAACGGCAGAATCATGGAGTGCTTGTGCAGCACTATCCGTAATACCAGCAACCTTAAATAACCTCCTTCCAGTGCCACAGAGCCTCCCAATAAAGCAAACGCTCCAGATGGTCTTGGCAGAGATCTGACCTGGCTGGGACTGCTGCTGGGGCCAGCAGCCTGCTCCTAATGGCCCGGGAGTGAGAAGCAATTTTAGTCCAGCATACAAAACCTGGAATCTTACATTTAAAAAAACCCAGTCCTGTTGCCTGCAAAAGTCCTCCCACATTTACCCCGGGGGTGGAGAGGAGGGAGAATCTGAGAGGGGGTGTTCTAGGCAGGGAATGGGCCTCATTGAATAGTATTCCTAAGATCCAGAGTTTTTACTGCACTTGACTTTATTGGTTTGCAGTGCGTGTAGCACCCCTAGAAATCCATGATCCGAATGATGGTCTCTTCTGTCACAGTGTAGTGTGGCGTGTAGCCGGAGAGTAATGTTCATAGATTCCTCCCTCCGCACATCTCCGCCTGAGAGGCTAGGTTTGACTCTGTCTTGTGGCTCTGCCTTACAGGAGAGGCTGGTTCCCTTTCTCCTACACACGGGTTCTTGACAGCGATGGAAGCGACAGGTTGCATATGAGGTAAAAACACCCCTTTAAAAAACAATCTGTCCCAGCTGCTGGTGCTGCGTGGTACCTGGTGACGTTCCTTTGCGTCTGGGGAAAAGCTCCCAGCGCTGACCAGCGTGCGTATGGGGCCCAAGGCGGTGATGGACTGTGCTTCTCAGCTGTCGAGCCAGTCATATTATAGAAACGTTGTGAGATTTTCAGATGTTGTCTGTAGTTGAGGAACCCAGAGAAATACGCAGGGAAGTGAGACTCCTCACCAGACGTGCATTGTATCAGACCTGGTCATATGGTGCCGGAACAACCAAGGAAAAGGCTCAGGATGTCCTAGGAGGCACCGGGGATGGGGGGAGACTCTCTCTCTCCCTTAGGGGCATTGGGAGGCTTTCAGGTGATCAGCATAAAGGGCTTATGAGTTGGGTTCCATTACAGTGGTGCAGGGAGCTGAGGGGCAAATATAGACCAGGCGGGCTGGGCCAAAACACGTGGCACCTCCCTCTGCCGGCTGTCCGACATAAGGGGAGTCTTTCCTGTGCTGTGGAGTGCATTGCAATCTGAATGAAACGGGGAGATTTATTTTCCAGTGGGCAACAAGGTGGTGGTCAGGGCTTAATGCCAGCTTTGTGGAGAAATACAAAAGTCTTCATGAAATTCTCTCCGAGCTGGTCTCCATGCCCCAGTGGGGTTTAGCTGTGGATTCTGAGTGGTATCCGTGGTGTCGGCTGCATTAGAAATGCCTTTAAAAGGATTACAGTGTGGGAGGTTGTGATTTCCCTGCCCATTACTGCTAAACAGAAGGGGAGCCCTGATACAGGGAAGGCTGAGAACCACTGGATTAGTGTTATCTGCTGGAGAAGTGACTGACTGTAGAGGAGAAACCAGCTCTCCCAGAAGAGCTTGGTGTGTGCTCCAAAGCTTGTCTGTCTCTCTCTCACCAACAGAAGTGGGTCTAATAAAAGAGATTATCTCACCTACCTTATCTCTCTAATTCCCTGGGCCCAACATGGCTACAGCAGCCCTGCATGTCTGCATAGAACTCGGTCACAATTGTGAATGATAAATAATTGCCACTGGTTAGTGAGCGTCTAGGATAAAATGTGCCACGTGACTTCGCTGTGCTCCCTGCTTGAGGCCCCCGTGACACCTGGGCTGCTGCGCTAAATATATGGCTAGCACCAGTGTCACTGGGCAGGGTCCCAGGGGAGCCCAGCAATGGCAGGGCAAGCGTGGGTGGGTGGCGGTTGATTTTATTATTTTCCTGTTTGTAGCTTGCAACAAGGGAAAAGCAGCAGCACCGGCAACCTGCTGGATAAGGACGACATCGCCATCCCGCCGCCAGACTACGCCGTGTCCTCATCACGGGTCTTCCCCCCACAGCCTGTTGGCACTTTCAAACAGAGACCATACAGCATGGCAGTGCCTGCCTTCTCCCAGGTGAGGTGCTGGGAGCCCAGGGGGATGGGTAGCCCGTGGCTGCCGAGAGCAAGTACACGTTAATCACTTCGTCATTGCTGGCAGCTGGGGAGCAGCTCGCTCCAGGGGGAGAGCTGCATGGAGAGCAGGCGTTCTGGAGTATGGCAGGGCGGGGGAGAGTTATACTGAGCAGCCCTTGAGTGCAGTGAGAAATGGCTTTAACAGCAGCGGTGTGACTTGTGCGGGTAGGGGGCGAAGCTGTCACGTTCGCACATGTTGCTGCCCTCCATCAGTCGTGTGTTTTCCCTTGGGGATGCGGGAGTTGTACCCGATGGCTTCCGTTCACAATAGACACTCTTGGGCGCTTTTGAAAATTTCACCCAAGTCCCATTTTCATACATGACTTGGGAGCCTAAATACTATTGACTTTTGATGAGCCTTTGGCTCCCATGGGCCAGATTTTTAAAGGTATTTAGGTGCTGAACTTCTATTGAAATAATGGGAATTAGGCACCTAAATACCATTAAAAATCTGGCCCCAAGTCACTTTTCAAAATGGGGCCTAGGCTCCTAACTCTTTTAGGCCCTCTTGGACATTGTTGTTCTGGTCTTAACTAAATAAGGGGCATGGTTGCATTTGGAGAAAACACTTGGGGAAGGGTTTTAAAAAACAAACCCCAAAAGCATCAACACAGCCTTTCTCCTACCCCCATCTTCAGGCAGCTTCAGGCTGTTGAATCCCCATTTAATGTAGCAAATCAGACAATGATTTCCAGACTCCTTCCTGCAGCCGCTGTGGGTCACTCTATTAATCCAGGGCAGTGTTCCTGCGTGCCTTAGCTCTGCTCTAGGTACGGGCACCTGCCTCAACCTGTTGGCTTGCTCTCATTGGCTGTTCAGATGTGCCCACAAAGGATGGGCATGTGGAATGCCGGTCAGCTGGGAAGAGGGAATGCACTAAACCAGGGAACGTAGGGAGTGCACCCCCAAGGAGACAACCTGTGCCAGTATTCTCCCCGTACTGAACAGAGTGGCCTTCCCTGGGTTCTGTAATGTGCAGCAGTGAGTGGGATGAGAGTTTTACTTACTGGCGTCTGTGTGGCCCTCGTACTGGTGGGAGCCCTAGCTGTTGCACCATGAAGAGTGGAAGTAAATGTGCTGAACTCTGGGAGGGTTTTAATTTTATTTTAAATGTTTTACTTTGATGTTGGCCTATTGCAAATGAATGAGGGTTACTCTCCAACAGGCCTGTGTTCATTATTTATAGGACTACCTTATGCCCTATGGTTGTGCAATTAAAGAATACTCCCGTGGCCTGTGCCAACTGCCATCTGCTCACTACAAGCCTTACACTAGGTCAACTGTAAGTCCAAACGAAAGCGATGTTTCCATTGGGGTTTACCAGCCTTGGCTGTTTTTGCCAGATTCTTCGTAGCTTACTCAGGGCTCCATGATCTTTCTCCTTCCAGTCCCTCTCTGAGGGGAACTAAAAAACTCTCCCTTCAAAACTTACAGTGGGAGAGGAAAGCCAAAGTGACTGGAGAAGATGAGCCAATTGGCTGACTTGGAGAAGATGGGTGAGACACACAGAATGGCACAAAATGGCAGCATAAACTCCCAATCGACAACACTCGCTGCTTCCATGAGAGCCTCCCACCAGAAATGAGTTCCTCACGGGTCGTATCCATAGATTTTTTTTTTTGAGGTGAAGAAAGCCCCTAGGGCTCCCGCCCAGCCCCACCCGAGACCAGCAGTTACATTAGCAAGGGGCTCTGACAAGAGCTTTAAAGAACTCCTGAGATGAGTAAGTTGATCCTTTGTCCTTGCTGGACAGAGCAGCATGAGACCACGTAGGGTTGTGAGGCAGGAAATTCTAGGCGGGGAGTTGGGGTTGGTATTCGTAGTCAAGAGGTAACTAGGCAGAATGGCCGCATCAGGCCAGGGACACAGGTTTTGACTTGAGAAAAACCAACCTCTCGGTTCAGAACCACCCTCCCCCAGCTTCCTGGGCCATGTCTGAATTACCGTGGGTCCTGGGCACTGACATGCCCAGCAGGCCCTGCAAACCAACTAAAAAAATAATCATTCTGTTACTTGACTGGAACAGACGAGAAGCAAGCATTGATGTTCAGTAGATCTGAGGCTGGCTCCAGCATGGGGCCACGCAGCGCCAGCTGCCACAGCCAGACTGCAAGTCCCAGGATGGGCCAAGCTTCCCAAGTCTGAAATCTGCCCCTTCTTGAGGCAGTGAGCAGGGGACTGGCCTGTTCACCCCTGGGCCACTCCAAAAGGAGCTTGCGAAGGGCTATGCCCAAGCTGGGAAACAGCCCTACTTCTGTGCCTGCAGCTGACGCAGAGTGGGGGAACAGCCTCGCATCTTGCTAGCTGGAGCCAGGTGAGCTGAACGAGGAACTGGCTCTTTGCAGGGGTGTTTGGCGAGGAGAGAGATTTGTATCAAAAATAATGTGTTCACGGACTGGCCAGAGCCTGCTTCTCAGATCTCAGGGACCTGGGTAGCAGGTGCAGGACTCATTGGTCTTGACTCATAACCCAGAGCTACTGCAGTCTCCTCTGCCGGCCCCCCTTCTCCCGCTGCCTGGATCCTGGCACCCTGCATGGAATGGCCAGGGTGCCCTGCACCAGTGTCCCATCCATCTCTTCCACAGAAGGCTGTAGGCTGTCGCTTTCTGTCCTCCCCGGCCACCCACAGCATCATGCTATTCAGTACCAGTCCAAGCAGCTGACAGCCTGCAGCGCTGCAATTTCTGGTGGGATTCGGTTACGAGAGAAACACATTTTTCACAGACCATGTCACCAGTGTGTGCCTAACTTCTTCTTTTGTCCCTTTCAAAGTGCATGTGACACTCCTTGATAGCTACGGGATCTCTGCAGCAAGGTGGAGCTGGACAGCAGGAGCTAGATTCCCTCTGCCTTTGCTGTAACCCGCCTTGTGTAAAGTTACACGCTCTGCAGAGAAGAGTGTCACTTTACTCCATGATGCATTAAACCTCATTTAAATCACCTTCATCACTATCCACTTTCTAATACCCAGATGCTTCGGCTCTGAGCCTGAAAGCCATCAGGGCCCAGTGCATTTGCTTCTGTTCTTGTGTCCTTCCAGTGCCATCTAATGGCAAAGCCTGTCTCTCTGCCGTCTCACGGTTGGTTTCTCTTTTTCTCCCTTAGGGTCTTGAGGACTATGGGACGAGAGGTGGAAGCAGGTAAGCCTCTCTATTTCACATCGTGTTCAATAAAGTGAATCGTAATGTTCAGAGTGCTGGATACAGCAAACAACACTGCAGTATCCCTTGGCAGGATGCATTCTGGGAGGTGGGTATACATTGGCACTCAGGCGGTGCAAGTAGGTGATGCTAGATGTGGCAGTTTAGAAGTATACAGAGTTAATGATGGAGTTGGATAATTTTAGGCGTTAATCAATCTGAATTTGTCATCTCTGAGCGTGGGGCGACCAAGAGTCTCTTAGAGTCCAAACGTATCTAGCTTGTCGGCCTGTTCCAAGGACAGCTGTGGCCTCTCCCAGGGTCACTACTTGGCTCAGAGACTCTGGATCAGATGAGGAGTTCTCGTTTCTCAAAAGCAGGCTAAGCTGAAGGGAACATCAGCACAGCCAACTTCTCACATTCCACTGGTTCAAACTGGGGCAGCCTTACTCTAGGAACGTCCAGTATCTTCTCTTGGTACTTTCCCCTCTCGAAACTCACTCCACTCTCTCACCCCGATGGGGACTCAGCCCAAACTAGAACAGAATGGGAAGGTCTGTCTCCAAAATGCAGGCCCTCCTGCCTGCGTTCGGAACGCTCTCGTTGCTAGAGGAAATGCAGCCTCTTGCCCTGGGATTGGGGTTCGTTAGTTTGAGCCCTGCATTGGTGGGAGGACCTGAAATATTTCTAAATAAAAATAGAAGAAACCTCCCACTTTTTTGTCATGTTGTGAGTGAAATGGCAACCAGTTGTGATGAGTAGGATCTGAACCTGAACGCCAGGGCTGCATGTGGTTCCTCTCCCTCACTGGGGAACACCCAGAGAAGTCGAGCATGGAGCAGCTGCAGGAGTTGTGCCGAGAGCTCTCGAGATGGTTCGCTTTAAGCAAAAGCGTATTGCGCTCTGTGTTCTCAGCCCCCTGCTTTAGGGAAGTTGTAGGGTAAAGTGAGGACTAACCTGAGCCCCAGAAAAGGGATACTGCATTGCAATAAGCTTGTTGTCGTCCATCTGACGCTCTTTGCAGTGAAGTGCAGTCTGGCAGTCTTCCTGTGCTTTCTATTCCACAGTGGCAATGGCACTTTGGTATCAACTGTCTGAGGACACCTGACTAGAAATGGCAACTGCTGCTTTGAAGAGCTTTCTGCTTCTTTCCCTCTTTTCTTTTCTCCTTTTATACTTCTTCTTAGTTTGGATTTTTAACTCTTGTGATCATCCAAGGAAACCATGGTGCTGCTACCTTCCCCTCCCTGATGTTTACAATGCCCTTGTTTTGTGAAGCCTTTCAGAGCGGAAACTGCCAAACTGTGTGTGCTAATTTTTGGAGCAGCCTGGATGCAGTTTACAGTTACTGGGCAGAACCAGTTTTTGTACTTTGTGAATGTTCAAAGATGCACTATCCCTTTTCTGAGGCTTAACATGAGCCACACTGTATTAACAAAATGGAAGAAACCATTTCCAACACTGAACAAATACGCATGGCCTATGGTATACGTACTGTTACTTTAACTATCTTTTCCACTTCATTCAGATGCCAATTTCCTGTTTGTAAGGGGAAGGCAGGTGTAGACGCCAGAGAGGTTTGGTCATTTCCCTCTCTGGGTGGCATCCACTTTAACTCAACCAAACTTTACAAGGTTGCTTTAAGGAAAAGTGGATAGTGCTGAGGTTTAGACCTCAGATAGAAATAGTTGGTTCTTGGTGGGGGTTGGACAGTTACTCTGCTCCATCTAATTAAACCACCAGGGCTGACTCAACCAGCATTGTTGGAAGGTTCATTCTTTCTTTTGTTGTATATTTTGTAGTGAGGTATTGTTACCTCACGCTCGTGCTCTGGGGGATAAATCATGGTATTATGCAGCTTGCCAGAGCAATCCAAAGACTTTTTGCATTTTGAAATTGGACTTTAAAAAACAACTGTGTTTTGGTTTGGTTTTTCTTGGGGTGGTGTGGAGGGGAGAAGAATTCCAGTGTTTAACTTCCTAAATCCTGTCAATCTTCTTTGTGTGTCTTGATAACTTCAGAGACAAACACGGTAGGATTGGAATTAATGGCTACTGGTATTGCTTCTTCAATCACTGAGTGCGGAGAAGTCAGTAAGTGGCTCACACCCAGAGTACAGACTTAACCCTTTCAGTTCCGGTGAAAGTCTTCTTCATTGCAAAGCTGTACACACTTCCTCTTTCTGTGATTTTTAAAACCTCTTTACATGCCTGTTTACTAGGACATTGCTGGCAATATACACATACACACATATATATATATACACATATACACACACAGAGAAAAGGGTTTTTTTTGTTTGTTTTCTATAATAGACTATGGGCATATGTAGTAAGAACCTCCTGTGTTGATGTCATAATTTTGCTAAAGATTTTTAATCCAGGATATTCCGTGCTAAATGAATGAATGTAGAAAATTAGCAAAACTTGTATGAAGATTGTAAAGTGCTGAAAACCTTTTTTAAAAGCTGAAGAGAAATGTGCCCTGTACTGAGTTATTGTTTGAATAAAAGTTTTATTTATTGCATTGAGTTGGGCCTTGGTGGTTTTTTCAGCTTTCCTGCCTATATCACTGACCAATCACCAAACTGCCTCTGCCATATTTTTTTTCCCATTCCCCATGATATTGGAGGGCCAGAAAATGACTTTTCTCCTTGCCCAGTTTCTCTGGTCAGTTTTCAGGTCTGGCAGCTTGCATTAAAGTCCATTGCTGAATGAAAGCAGCTGCAACAGTGTTTAAATGCATAGTCCCAATGCTAAGCCAGTGTCTTGATTTGTCTTGAAAGACTCGCTGTTGCAGGTGAATGGCTTGCTGATCTCCAGTACAGGATAAACCTAGAATTAGTTGCTTTGCAATATGGCTTGTGTGTAATACCACAAAACCAAATGCAGCTCTTTCCAAACTGCATTTGGGTGTCACTCAGGAGGTTTGAATGCTGTTAACTGAAAGTAAATGGTCCTATTTTTTTTTTTTCCTCTGCAAACTTAAATGAAGGGGAAAGTCTGAGTTCTGAGAAGAGTCCAGTGCAGGGTGGGAATGCTGCAGGGTAACTTTCCCATGGCTGACATGTAGAGGATCTAACTTAATTGTAATCTTCACGAGGGGGTTGTGATAAGGAAGAGTTTGTGTTTTAAGTGCTGTATCGGTGATAATTATTAATAACAAATACAACTTTTTCTTTTTTGCATCCTGTGTCTCAAGAAGCATGTTAACCCAGCCAGTAACCTCTCCTGGGAGTGGAGCAAATCCCAGGGGAGCAGCCGGCTCCCAGCCTAGCTTCTCTCTCCTTAACCAAATACCCTTTTTATTTCTCACTAAGGCTGCTGTGTGCGTATTAAACACATCCTACAAACTGCCTTTTGTTTCCATTACAGCCCCGATGTTGAAGTGGCCAGGTTTTGATGTCCCTGACTAGTTAGTAAGTTCACAGTTTTATGTGCCAAACCCCTCGTTCTTGCAGTGCTATGTACTGACTGGCCCGAAGCCGGGGGCTCAGCACCATACTAATGAACTGATGAGGGAGGGAGAAAAATGGGTCACTGATGGTCACCGTGAGCAGATCAATCAGTGCAAACACTGGACGGGCACTGACATATCCTTCACCAATATCCATGGCCAGGCAATGCCAGTCAGTTCAGAGCACAGCTCCTCACTTGCACCTGAACCCATTGGTGGAAGCTTCTCTGCCTCCCTGGGACTCCTGAAATGGATTCCTATTCCTACACTGTCATTCCGTATAAAGCTCCATGTGCCCGTTTCTCTAGCCACACCTATATCTGCACGGCTCGATGCATAGTGCCTGTCCCATCTCCACCCCTCCCTCCCGCACTGCTGGGGCAGGGCAGGTGCAGCATTCTGGTTTCATGCTTCCATGTCTGGGCAATGAGCATCATTGGCCTATTCCTGCTTTTTAGAATTCTCCCCTTTAAATAATGACCCACCTTGGTTTTAGGTTTTCAGTGAGTCCCAGCATCTGCTGCTGTCACTGGGTCACAGTGACTTTCACTGCATCAGACGCACCTCTGGTGATCGGCACTTTATTGCTGTTTTGCACGGTCTTTTCCCCGGCGTCTGACATGTAGGGTTAGAAAACCTACATTATCAGTAGTTAAATAATAGGTGGTTTGGGGGTGGTCATAGCGTTAATGTTCATTGCCCTCCACTCTGCAGAGCTGCGGGTCAGCATTGTGACCATTAGTTTGGTAGCCTCCATCTAGTCCTGGATGCCTGATTGGTGGCCTTTTGTTCAGCAGTTGCCAAGGCCTGTTGTATTCGTGGGTCCTGGAGGCTAGCAGTGAGCAGCATTGGCGGGAGGGCAGGGGAGGTTTCCTTGCATAGCACCTGCTGGTTTAAGCCTCTTCCAGGAGCTCCACTCTCACCCCAGATACCTTTTTGCACTTCCCCCCTAATCCTGAAGTTGTTTTTTGAGTCTGAGATTTGGGGAGGGGGCGGGTGCTGCAGGTTCTGATCCACCTCTCTGCTTTGCCAGAACAAAGATAGTTAAATAATCCCTGGTGAGTCAGTAAGTCACCTTTTCATTTCTTTCATGTGAAATCAATTCTCCAGCATCCTAGGAAAAAAGTAAACTGAGAATCTGCATAAATTAGGTGGGAAACGAATCGCTTTGGCTTGAAAACAGGGAGTTTAATCTTCTCGCCGGAAACCAAGCCACGATGTAAAGCGGAGAGCTGGTGCTGTACCAGGCAGCTGGGCCTTGGGGAGAGGAGCGATTACCCTTCCCGTAGCACTGCTGGAAGGCTGAGCCACTGTTCCTGGGTTAGTGCTGGGGGCTGAAGCTCTGGATTTTAAACAGAGACTTCGTACTAGTAGTTTGTTGGCCAGCAAGGCCTCTACCCTGCTCTCGGGCCCAGGGAGCACTGGGGCAGCTGCTGACTCATGTGTTTGCTTGGTGAGTGTGGGGATAACCCAGAGAATCACTGTGAGAAAAGGAGGGCCAGATCCCTGCTCCTATAGCCTCCTCCCCCACCCCCCTGTATTTCTCCGCCTTAATCAAACTGTTCTGTCCTGGGTTTCCTGAACCCCACCCCCCTACACACACGCACTCCAGCCCACCTGACCCCTATGGGGACCGTTCAGGATGCTTCTCCTTAGGTTACATTTTGCTAGACCGAGTGTTTCAAGACACTGAGGGCATGCAGGGAGCCGCAGTGAAACCCTGGAGCACCGGCTTTAAAAGGGGGGGAGGAGCAGAGGACCAGCACCACAGAAAGGCTCCAGCTCTTGCTTTGCAGCCAGGTTGGGAGTGTTACCGAGCAAGACCTTAAGGGGACCCTCCAAGGCTCCTTGCCTGCAGCCAGGGCCTCTGGGCACAGAAGTGCAGCCCTCAGAGCTGAGAGGAGTTGCAATTCACAGGAAGCAACTCAACATTCAGATACTCCGAAAGTAAGCTCCTTAAAGATCCCTCCCCCTCCACCAGGAACCTCTCTCGTGGCTTCGTGCTGAGCGGTCTCTGTGCCCCAGTGAGAGACGCTGCTCCTGGGTGCCTCACCACTCCAGCAGCCCTAGGAGATTGAAGGCAGCATTTGCTCTTTAGCAAGTAACTGTTGAGCCTAAAATTGTTGAACTGTGCCAAGTTTTAACCTCACTTGTGCTTTTCTCCCCATGTTTGCCTCCCCCAGCCTGACTGTCAAACAAGAATAGGATCTCTGGTCAACACCCTCAGCACCATGTACGGGTACATCTACACCATGGGGGGAACCCTATAGCAGCCTCCCTTAGCACCCAGGTGTACAGCTGCAAGCTCCCGCTACGGCCCTAAAACTAGCTGAGGAGACGTTCCAGCTTGGGCTCTGAAGCCTGCGGGGAAGGGTGGGGGCAGGCCACCCATGGGCTCAGCAGGGGGGACTAGTCAATTTGCAGAGTGGAAGGGAACAGGGAACAAGTGGCAGGACAGAGCTGGTTGGGGGTGGGGGGGGGGTGCAGCTGCATGCAAAGAGCTCCTTGGAGCTGCCCTAGCATTTACATCCTAAAGTGCATCCCAAACCTGTCAGCCTCTGGCAGCCCTGCACATACCCAAGGAGTGCGGCCACCGGGTGTGGGAAGCAGCCCATGGGGGTCTGTGCACTGCAGTAGTTTCTCTTCATCCCCTCAGAGCTGTACCTTGTCCTCCACCCAGGCATGCTTCAGGGGGAGTTGTCCTGACCTTCTCTTTGATTTCCCCCCACCCCCCACTGGTGCCAAAGGGGTTGGAAGCCAAAGGGTGTAATAAAGTAGGGGAGCAGCCTGTCCTCTTGGGGGAGGGTCTCCTGGATTAGCCTGAGTGGCCTTGCCTTTAGGGGGGCAGGAGCAGGAATGACCCAAGGTAGAGGGTTCAGTTGAGGTCAGCATCTCCTGAGCAAGCGGGCAGGAGGTGTGGCTGTTCTCTCCGCTCCTTGGGTGGTGGTCAGCTAGTTGCATTCCTGACGGATCCTACCCAGCCATGACTTGTGTCTCCTCTAAGCCTGGTAGGAGAATGTGTTTGATGCTGTCTGTCTGCAGAGCTGTTGTCAGTAATGTACTGTGGTGTAGGATTCCCCCCCCCCCCCCCCCGGGGTGGTCTGCAAATACTGACTGGCTCAGGGGCAGGAGCAGACAAAGGCCCTGGGATGGGGCAGGTGGGGCCCCGAGGATGCTTCCTTTTTCCTTGAGGGTATTTTTGCGCTGCTGTTTTCAGAGCCAATCTGTATTTTGCTTTATTAATCTCCTGTGCTCTTTCCTAGTGCTGGCCAGGCTGAGGAGCCATCCAGGGGGAAAATGGTCCAGGCTAAGGGCCCCCTCCCCCGTGCTCTGGCTGACTCCTCTCCTCCACCTGCTTCTCTGCACAGACTCCTCGGCCTGTTCAGGGGGTGCCCAGAGCTGATGCAATTGGGGGAGTGAGCTGAAAATCCCAGGTGGGGGGTCTTCAGAGTTCCAGGAAGGGGAGGCCTGCTGAGGGCATGAGCACCCTGCTTGGTTATCAAGTAGTTGCAAGGTCAATACAAGGGCCAGGGGTTAATAAATCAGGATCATGAATACGCATCAGCCAGCCTGCTGTGCGTATAAGATGTAATACACAGCATTTGTGTCTTTGAAGCGTTAACTAAGCTGCGTTTCTTTCGTGTGGCTAAAGGACTGTAACTGGAATGTCTTTGTTTAAATGTCTGGTCTGACCAAATTTAAGGTGTGTCCTTTCATGCCACCTCCCCTTGCAAATCTCAGCTCAGCTGCATGCTCAGCTCAGCTGATGTGAAACTCCCTCAGATCACATGCCAAGATAAATCAGTGAGCTTCCTCCAGCTGGCTTGTCTGGGTGGAAACCACCATCCTTCCTGCTGCAATGAGGCTTAGTTGAGCTCTGACTACCCTCCAAGAGTCTGTCCTGTGCGCAGTGATAACTAGCTGCGGTACAGACTCCTCAATCTCCTAAATTTCCTCTCTGCCATCACAACTGTCACACTCCTGGGGGCTGAGATCAGGGAGAATGTCACTGTAATCCCTCAGCTTCTCTGTTAAAGGAACATGGGTCTGGACTTCCAGGAGTCCTGATCCTAATGCATGGAAGGGGTCATTGGTTGGTGTTTGGGGCTTCCCCCAGCTCCCTGGAATCTGAAGGAGAGGGGGTTTCAGCCTTTAGGGTTTTAAAAATAGCCTGGACAAGTAGGAGTATCATAGGAACCAATCCTGCACTCCCCAGATCACCTCAAAACTTTTCTCTGTCTCTAAATGCTGAGAGGAGCTTCCCTCTCCCAAGTACAAACCCCCCATGCTAGAAATCTCTGTGACAATCCAGCTCTGTAGCGTTAGCCCTAAGGGGTTTTTCTTGTTCGAGGAAGCAGAATAAGTCCATTCACCCATTTCTTAAAGAAGTGCCACCCAGTGGGTGAGCGAGGTGAGGCGGAAAGAACCTGCCATGCTGGGACTCAGTATGTTCCGCTCGCACACTGTGTGCAGTTAGGTTTCGAATACACTAAAAGCAAAGCCAGCCAGGCAGGAGCGTGTGCCCAGCCTGTCACCTGCTGCAGTGTTTGCTGCTCTCAAAGCCCACACAGCCTAAGGAAAGCTGTGTGTGCCTCACCAGGTTCTCTCTTGCTGTCCTGTTGTCCTGTTGTCCTGCTCAGTGGATACACTCCTCCCCCCCCGCTGACCTGTGCCTTCCTGTCTCTCTGCAGAAATCCTTTTGCCAACATCCAGCTGAAACCAACAGTGACCAACGACAGGTCAGCTCCCTTCATCAGCTGATCCCTGGGATTGCTGGAGCCAGCAAGCACCTCCCGCCTGCACTGCTGTATCTGACCCACTATAGCCTCCTTGTTTGCAAGTCTGTCTTTCCAGAACTTTATGTTTAGGCTGCATTTACACCTGCTACTGCTGCGTGGAAGCCAAGAGCTAAAGCTGGTGTTTTGATGGAGTCTCCTCTAGAGCCAGTGTATTCAGCGCAAGGGGGTTAAACTCTGTTACCGTTCGTTCCAGGTGTGGAAGGAACAGCAGTCCCGGCCCTGGATTCCCAGCCTGTATCTTCCCACCCTGTTCAGTTCTCCTGAGGTTTAGTGATGGACTATCTCCTACATGGAGCAAGATACAGGGCAGGGCAGTGTAACCCTCACCCCAGCCCTCTAAAAGGATGTCTGCAGGGCAACTGGGACAGAGACTCCTGGCCTAGGCCCACGGCCTTACGCACTACCCCTAGTGGTGTGGGTCAGGTCTACGCAGCTCGTGCTAGCATAAGCCCTATTAACACCCCTCTGTGGAGCTGGGTGGACAGTCTCGTGTCTCCCTGCAGTGTAGACACAGCCAAGGTTTGCAGAACCCTCCTTGATGCTGTTTAGAGCTGACAAGGGCAGTGAGTGGTTAAGCCTTAGCCCCTTCCCTTCTTCGGGCCTGCAGCAATTCTTAGCCTGTGGAACAGCAGAGCCATGCAAAGTGCCGGTGTCCTCCCTCACCCTGCTGCTCAGGGCTAAGGGCTGGCTAGCACGGCTCAGCTGCTCCCAGGCAGGCCTGCTGAACTTCAGCTAAACAGTTGCAATGGGTTTTACACTCAACCCACCTGGTGCAGTGTCTATATTTTATTTAGCTCTGTCAGGTACTATTCACCCTAGAACACCCCCTGGGCAGAGGTGACCAGTAATACTCACCCTCTTACCGGTAATCGTGTGTAGTGAAACCATGGGGAAGAGGAAAGAGAGGTGCAGGAGGGTGCACCATGCCTCCATAACACTGTCCTAACCAAACGTCACTTGCCAGAGACCTGCCAGACCCCAGCTGCAGCTGCAGCCAGCTTTCAGGGCTGAAGGCGGGAGGGTCTGTGTGACTTGAAAGGTGCTGGGCTGCAAACATTCCAAGTCCCTGAGGCCACCCCCCATGCTAGTAGCGACTTCCCCAGGTGTCACTAGTGTCTGCCTTCCAGGCCCCTATAAGTGACTGGCTGAGAACTTGGGGCAGCTGTAGACCAATGCTTCCAGGGCCTGGTTCTGGTCCCAAGCCCAGGCTCCTCTCGCAAGTGCTTGGTGTATGTTTTAGAAGAGCAGGTGTCAGGCTCTTTACTGAGAAACCTCTGTCTTAGCTGAGCTCTCTTCCCCCTTGTTTGTTACTAAAATCGCTGCTGCTCAGATAGTGCCTCTCTGCCCTCAGCTCGGCGTAGACATCGCAGCTCCACCCCAGAGCTTGCGCCAAGGGTCCTGTGGAGCAGCAGCCTTGTGTCCTCCCTAAAGGATGAGGGAAGAGAAAGGGGGGGAAGAAAGCTTCACCACCTGTGTGACCAGGACCTGCATCGGGCCTGGGTCGTTCCCTGCCTTGCTCCATCACAGGCTAGATTAGAAATCAGGGCAGGAAGCCCAGACCGTGCCTGTGGCAGGGGTTGCCCTCTTCAGTGTTTGGCCATTTGCACTTTTTTTAAAATTGCTAGATCGCAGAGCATGAGGGCTGCTGGTGCTTTACGGCGCTGTACAGTTAGCCCCTGATCAGCTTCCGCCGCATAGCGAACGAAACCAAATGCAGAGTCCAGTGTTCGTATTTTTATAGAAAGGAAAGTATATTGGACCACTCTAATCGATGGCTGCTTGCTGCAGCCGCTCTGAGCCCTTCGCCCCACCTAGGAACGCTGGCTTAGTTCTCCGCTGTTGGCCATAGCTTCTCTTCTCTAAGCTGGAGGAGACATCTCACTGAAGGCGGGGGAGCTCCTGAGCCCGGCAGGGGGAGCTCCTGAGCCCGGCAGGGGGCCCCAAGCTGCAGTTACTCCCCAGGCTGCCTTGCACGGCTGTGGGTGAAGCTGGATGGCACTGCCCTGGGGGGTTAAATCTGTCCAATGGTGTCGTCTCAAACTCTCCCATCTGCTCTTCACGCCGCTGCGCACTGCGACTTCCCCCACTTTTCAGCGGCATCAGTGAGGGCGCGGGCGGGCTCCTCTCACTGAGGTGACCCGAGGCCATAACGCTGTCGCTCAGAGGTATGAAGACTCCCTGGTGCCCGAGGGCTGCTGTTTAAACCGGCCTAACCCCTCAAGGCGGTGGTGCTAGGGAACAGCCTCAGCAACGCATTACAGCTGCCCCCCTGCGGCAGGCTGAGCGTAGACAAGCCCTGAGACTGCACTGCTCTGAACCAGGCGCCCATGCAGTGCCAAGCACAAATACAACACCCTGGAAACTACCAGGGGCAGCACAAGTGACCGGCCTCAGTTTTCTGCTGTCCTAGTCCTCTCTGGGCCTGGTCCCTGCACCCAGTCCTTGCTCACTTGGTCATTTTCCTGCTCCATGAGTGAAGTTCTGCCAGGCTGCAGCCCTGCAGATGCAGTAACTGGCTCATGTGGGCCAAGGCCAGATAAAGGCATAAGCAATATTGTCCCCGGTTTAGGGCTGCAACTGCTAGAGGCCTAGGATGAGCCCAGCATCTTGTCCGTGAGCGCTGAAAATGTAAAGGAGTGGCGCTGATGCTTGCCTGAGTGTGCAGGCAGCCTGAACCAATCGATGTGAGCTGCCCACTCCAGCTTAACTCTGCCACCCTCTGGGGACAGCTCCAGCCGTGGTGTGCCTGAGGCCCCATATTGCCTTAATTCCTCCCTGGGTGGCCCAAAGACTCAGAACTGCTGTGCAAATGGGCCCTGAGTGAACTTGAACCTGGCCTCCCAGAAATCATGGGACCAAGGAGCTTGGCGCAGCTACGGGGCTCTGCTGGGACACGCCCCATCCTAATGGCGCTGGGCGTGGGTCTTTTGTCCTGGAGCTTTCCATATGGTGCCCACCATCACGCTGTGCCTTCCTGTGGTGTGAGCGAGAGGGTTTGTGCACAGCATCCGGCACTGCAGTCACTGGCCCACAGGCTCGGAGCCTAGCCGAATCGTGATGTCGTTACCCAGGACTGGTCACTGCTCCCCTCCCAACAGTGCGAATGCACTGGATCCCGTGCACATGGGTGAACCCACGTGCCAGTGAGGGCTGAGGGCTGCTCCCAATGGTGGTTCATCATGGCACTGCCTGGCCTACTCCCAGCACTTGTTCAAACCCTCCCAGAAAAGCTGCCTCGCCTGGAGGAGCCTGCTTAGCCTGAGCGCTTTGAACTTGGGCAACCAAGCTTCGCTTCTCAACCAGCATGGCCCGGTAGAGGTGCTAGGCCACCGCTCTGGCTGCTTCCCTGCGCTTTCTAGTCAGGCTAGCAGCTGCACCATGTACCCTGAAATTGCTATTTTTCGAAAAGTAATTTATGAGCAATAAACCCCACAAATCCTTGGCCTTGGTGCATGACTCTTCTTTTCCGCGTGAAATTGGTGTCTCTCTTGCAGCTGGTAAGGAGCAGGGCTTCAGGGGCTGTAGTTCTCTTCCTTCAGGCGCATCTGTTCATTGCCAGGGTCACGGCACATTCGCAGCAGCTGGAGGATGCAGCAAACCCCCCTTCTGCAAGCTCTGCTCCACTTCCAGGCAAGGAGGATTTTTTTGGTTCTAGTGTTAATGAGCTGCAGCAATATTGCTTCCTTACCAATGTGCTTTGAAAAACGTTACTTACCTAACTCTAGAGCTGGGGCTCTCCCAAATCCCCTCCAACTCCCCCCGGGGAGGCCAGGCCAGGCCAGGTTGCAGATAGTTTGGGTTAGAAAATGTAATGCCTCCTCCCAGCCCAGCTCCCCTAAGCCATGTTAATAAGCATAAGTGGCTCTGGTTCAAGGCGGCTACCCTGGCCCCCAGCCCGCCCAGGGGAATGACGGGAGGAGCAGTCTGGTTCTGCTATTTTAAAAACTTTATTATTGGCCCAATGATATTTGACACACATGCTGGGAGCTGTATGGAAATCAGCACTGATAAAAAATACAGCAATTATGACCCGTATTGATAAAATATACAATGTACTAGCCTTTCGATTGGAAAAAAAAAATAGCCAAGATGCAGCTCTGGCCTCATGCTGCCCCAGAGAGGCAGATGCTTTTGACTCTATAGACCAAACCCTGGGGGTCTGCCCCTAGCTTTCCCCAGAGCCAGAAGGAAGGAATGATGGGGAGATGAAAAGGGATTAACCGTTCCTGCTCCCAGCACAGTTATTAGCTAACCTCCCACCACCTGCCCTGGGACCATGCTTTGGCCTTAGGCACCTTTCAGGCCCAGACAGCCAGGGGTGCGTTGCTCTGCAGAGCAGGGCCATGGCTAACACCCACCGTAGTGCAAAACTTACCTCATGCTGAAAGAAACCCTCCAGTGCCTGACTCCCTGCCTGGCTGGGGCAGAGAGCATGGGAGGCTGGTTACTGTGGGAGTAGTAACACTGCGTCTTCCAAGCTCCCCTGCAGCTGGTCTTTGCTGCCCGTGTCCTGCGCCATGGGGCTCCCTCACCCCAAACCAGCCGCTTCAACACATCCCCCATTGCTTTGCCTCACACAGCTCCCACCGCTGTGAGCTGTGTTGTAGGGCTTGAGAGCACCGGGGCCATGGCCTTTTAAAAAAAAACTCTCCCCAGGTGATGGGGAGGGGCCACTAATTCAAAATATTTACTCCTCCAAGGGAAGAGAAGCAGCAGGCAGTTTGCAGCTAAAGCAGCTCCCGAGCCAGCTGTGGTTGCACCTGAAGGGCCTAGCCAGGGTGGGATCACAGGGCAGGAGGGGATTTTAGCTCATTTTCAGTTTGCCTCTACTCTGTGCTAGCAGGGAGGAGAGGTGTGCACCTGGGAAGCAAGGCACCATGCTTGCCCCACCCAGGGTGCCGTGGGGGGGGTGGAGGTGAGTGTGAGAAGAAGGTGACTGCTCACACACACAGGGTGTCGGTGCTCCAGGTGCAGCCTTGACCGGGTAAGCAAACAAGTGAACAAGGAAAGAAGTTTTTAAAAAGGGTTAAATTACAAATGCCTCATGGAGTAGACTCAGGATTAAAGCCCCAAAGGGTCATGCTGCAGCCAGGGGAGGACAGGCGCGCTCGGCCCAAGACCCAGTTCCCTGCTTATTTGCAATGGGAGGGTGAGCTGGTGCCAAGATACTGTGGGCTGAGTCAGCTTCAGCTGGGGCAGCAGACGATGCCTTGGCCCTCACCCTGGTGAGGAGGTGAGGCTGTTAATTAAACACCACACCAAGCTGATGGTGCAAGGAAGCACCTGCTTAGTGCTTATCCGGGCTTTAATCCACACACCCCTCCCCCCAGTGCTCAGTCTTTGGAGCCACCTGAACTGCTCCAGCCCGGATGAATATTTAAGAGCAGCACATGGCAAGACCGTGTGCTGAAATAAAGGGGCCTCAGGCGAAGCTAAATGCTGATGAGTCTTTTCACTGTTATTCCGCCTACGTCTTCCCACATGCAAGGCAGCCAGTGGCTCTTGCACCAGTTCACGCCCACGTGGCGCACTGAAGTGCGGTAAGCTGCTTGAGTGGCAAAGGGCTGCTGGCACTTGAGTCAGTATTGCTCGACAATAAATGCAGCTGCTGACTCAGGGCTGGGCTGCTGGTGCTCCAGCCGGGGGTTTCTGACCGTCATGGGACAGGGAATAAGCCGAGGACCAGCAGCAACCCAGCTGCTCAGGGCTTTGAGGCTGCCATTAGCTCTAGAATTCATTGAACGTGTCCAGAGGTGACCGTTAATTTCCACTTTCAAATGGCCTTTGACAAGGTCCTACACAAGAGGCCGCTAAAGACGCTTGGGGGCAGGGTCCTGATGTGTGAGCAGCAAAGTGTTGTCATGGCTCGGCGTCTGCCCGCACAGACCAGGCGTGCATGGCTCCTTTGCATCGCTGCACAAGGCTAAGAGCAGGGGGCCTCTCGGCACCAGCCTCAGGCCTGTGATGTGTTTAATAAGCTGGCGGGGTGGTGGGGGGTGTGAGCAGGGAGCTAGCAAACTACGCAGCTGGGAAGTTATTTAGTCAGGATGGGACAGGAGCGGGAGGAACGTGAGCGAGCGTGAGCCCGACACACACCAGGGGAACACACTGACAAATGCAATGGGCTGGAATGCGCATGGGAAGAAAAAAATGAAACGCCTTGCGCAGGTCGCTGGGTGGCAGAATAACTGGCTCAGCTGAGCCCGCAGTGCCGGGCATCGGTGTCCACAGCACAAGGGCCTGGGCAGCTGCCGTCAGGCACTAACCCACCGGAGGGCTCTATAAGGCCTAGGCTACAGCAGCAGGGATGATACACTAATGCAGCGGTTATTAACAGTGGGTCGCAACCCCATTTTAATGGGGTCGCCAGGGCTGGCATTGGACTTGCTGGGACTTGGGGCTGAAGCCAAGGGCCGAGCCCCACCGCCCAGGCTGAAGCCCTCAAGCTTTGCCCTCCTACCCCCCCACCCCCTCCACCCCGGGTGGCAGGGCTCGGGCTTCGGTTCCCCCTTCCCGGTGTCATGTAGTAATTTTTGTTGTCAGCAGGGCCGGGGGGGAGGGGGGTGTCGCGGTGCAGGACGTTTGAGAACTCCTGCTCTAATCGAAGTCACTGGGGTGGCTCCATCTGGAGCCTGTGGACCGTGCTCGTTACACTTCCAGCCAAAGGATACCGCAGACCACGGGGAGGGAGGGGCCAGAGGAGGGCAAGGAGAATGAGGCAGGGCCAGGAGCGGTCTCAGCAGATGCGCAGTGCAGCTTGGGCCCTTCCTTAGCGTGGAGACAAATAAGAGGGGCCAATGCTAATTTTCGACTGACGGGGCTAGCGACGCGAGGGGTGGAACAAGGGCCCATTCCTTGGTGGAGAAGTCAAGCACGCGAACAGGAAATATTTTCTGCACACGGTGTAAGTCGCCTGTGGCCCTGGGAAGTCGGGCAGCCCACAAACGTACCAGTCAAGAAAGGCTTGGTCATGGCTAGGGAGCCAGACAAGCCAGCGTTGTCATTTATGCTGCCAGAAATGTTGGCAGGGATCTGACATCAGCGGCTTCAGGGCTGAAGCTGCTCTCTAGCTTCGAGAGCCTCGCCGAGCCCCAACCTGGGGGCAGAGTAGCCAACAGCTGTTGCTCCAGGGTTCTTACACCTTCCTCTAAGACAGCTGGCACAGGACTTGAGCCAGAACACGGGGCTCAAGTCCTGCACCCATGGAGGTTCACCAAGCTCAGGCTGGTGTCCTGGGGTCAGAGCGCACCGCTTCTTGCTCCAAGCCCCGGCTGTTTGCTCAGCTGCCTCCCATCACTCCAGCAGTGCAGCCCCAGGGCCAGCAAAGCACTCGGCCTTGCATCCCTGCTGCGTAGACCAATCCGTCATGCCGCAAAAGCACCAAGGAGCCAGCGGCTCCCTTTGTGCGCTGGGACACTGACGTTCCCCCGTGGCAGCGACAGGGTGAGCCAGCGAGCACCCAGCACGCTCCAGGCAATGCTGCTGGAGACTGTGACACAGGTGTAAATGGGTTAGCCTGTTCCTAACGTCTGCAAGTGTTGAGCCAAACCCCTGCCAACAGCACTTGGCCTTTCCGTAAAAGGGAGGCAGGCAAGTGCGAAGGGCCAGCCCTGGTCTCCAGCAAACAAAGGCAGCTGCCCAGTGGAGCCCCAAATGCTATGGGCAGTGCAGACAAGAAGTGGTCAGCGGTAAGTGAGCTCCCTCGGGGGCGGGCGCAGGCTTGCAAGAGCAACATGGCAAGAATCAAACCGGCTGTCCCTGGCAGTGGAGGACACGTCCCCTAGGACTCTGCCCTGGAGGGAGAAAGGCTGTCCTGGCTCGGGAGAGGGCGCTGCAGCAGACCACGGAGCAGGGCTTCGCCATCACTACGGGGGCAGTCACCACTTATGCAGAGGGATGGGGCCAGGGCCTCTGCCCCGTCTGAGCACCACATAGCGGGAAGTGTGTTCTGTGCAGGGCCGTACCTGCACTCTCCCAGCCAGAGCCGAGGGCCTGGTCTCTGGGCTGGCCCATACAGGGCCTGAAGGAACGGTCACTGGGACGGAGGCTGCACATCCACATGGACGTGCATCCAGCAACCCCCGTGCCCCATGGAACAGGAGGGGCTGGGGCTGCTAGTCCAACCCACGGGCTGGCAGAGGATGCTGGGCCGGTGGGGAGGCCGAGGTGAGCTGCGGTCAGGGCGGGGGCAAGGCACAGCCTCTTACTTCCCAGCGGCACGTGCAGAGCTCTCACCACCCCTCCGAACGGTGACTGTGCAAATGGCAGTCCCAGGCATCCCTCACACCAGCGCGAAGCAGGGCCCGGGCCATCAGCCTGGCACTGCCTGCTCCAGAGGTCACACTGCGGCCCTGCCTTCCTACACTGGCAAACCCACCGACCTCGCTGCACAGGGGCCAGGCCATGCAGGTAGCCGGGGCAATGCGAGGGGAAACAACCCAGCCAGGAGCAGCGGGAGGC